TCTCTCTCTCTCTCTCTCTCTCTCTCTCTCTCTCTCTCTCTCTCTCTCTCTCTCTCTCTCTCTCTCTCTCTCTCTCTCTCCGATCGTGCATACAAGAATGCAGTGCCCCGGCTTGACAACCAATCCCGAGTGTAAATGCCATTGCCATCACCGTTCGCTTCAACTACCAGTACGGATGTAGATGAGTTACGATCGACTGCCCGGCACCTTGAAGTTAGGGCATCGCCACATCACTCACGGAACGTGAAAACGACAAAACCTACGGCGGGTGTATCTTTCTATGCTTCTATTGCAGATACATGCTCCATTTCGCACATTCCGGTAGTGGCGTGTCATACGCCTTGGGAACACCCCTGATCATGCGGGTCAGGGGATTCTCACCCTGGGACTTTTACTACGCTATCGACGAGATTGGGAACAGATTCATCGACATCTCACCGAAATCGTGATCCGGCACTATTTAGGGAAATCCTATGTTGTGAGCATGCCATGACCTGAAAATGACTCAACACTCAATCGATGTGATGACAAATGTAGCTCTTACCTGCATACTTGCCAGCGTACGCCATCGCTGCTTCCGATCTCTAAGCTCCACGATATGGCGGCGGCAAAGCTCTCTTCGTCAACTCCGCCGACGTCGTAGAGGCGTCGAAAACCGATTTAGCCAGGCACGACGCCGACGGCGGAGGACAAAGCCGGGAGCTACAGGGTGGAAAACTAAGATACGATGTGCATCGCCCCTCTTCCTATCTCCGTGCTGCAAAAGATCGCAACTTGTACTGCTCCTACGGAGTCTTCGGACCAGGAAGGCACTTTATATAGTACACGCCTAAACCAACCGAACCAACCGGACCTACCGGGTCGATCGACGTCTATACTCACGCTGGAACTTTTTTCTCACCTCTGACCGTGTTTTCGGTCAGATACAGTCGTTGGGAGTCGTGATTGTGGCGAGATACAACCTACGAAAGGGCTGGGCTACGTAATGTGAGCGCCAGGCCTGAGGCCCTAGCTCAGTTGGGAAGGCACAGAAGTTGTATTCAGGACGTCTTGGGTTCAATCCCCACTGTCCTAACGTACGCGCCTGGGCAAGCTTGGTGTTAGATAACCCATTGGCCCCCCAAGCCAGTGTTGGTGTCGGCAGGCCCTTGGCTGATGTTGTCGGTTGCTATGCAGCGACAATCTCGATGTGTTCGATGAGAGATGCAGAAAAGCAGATCATTCGCAACTCTCCGCATCTATCGAGAAACACGTCCAGATTCAAGAATTAAATCCAATAATCGTGCTTGTGGGACGAGGCCCCAGGACCGTTTTACAGGCCTGCCCCACCGTCCACGTCAAAAGGCGCAAAAAGGGTCTCTCGCACGAATTGTGCGAAATGAGAACGAATTTTACCACCATAAGATTTGTCTTTTGTGCATGTGGTGAGTTGTGGGTCCAGAAAGTGGCTTTTTAGACGCTGAGGGAGTGAATTCAGGGCATACTTGCACTAGGACTTTTTCGACTGAGCTCTGGACGTGATTCAAGTCAGATGCGTCCAGTTCTGGTCGCAATTCCAGTAAGGTACATTTTAAGTGAGTGCTAGTGTGAGTATGCGCTCTGCAGGGGGAAAAATAAGTAAAAAAGCGAAAACAAGAACGAAACAGACAAAAGATCGTTTCGACCAATTGATTAACAGCAAGAACAGGAAAAAACAAAAAAAAAAGCAATGACAGGTTCAAGAACAGAATCAACCACGCCTTGTCAGCGTTGGAGAGAATCTCCGTCGTCAGCAATGGAGAGGATCTCCGTCGTCGATGCACCTTTCGCGGGTATTCTTCCCTGATCTGTGGTATTACGTCACTGGACGTACTTGGAGCGATTGTTGTTGTTGTTTTTTTTGTTTCTTTTCTTGTTTCTTCTAGGAGTGATTATTGTACCACTATATAAGATTATTGTACCACGGGGTTCAGAGGGCATTTCACATGATCTGTCGTTTTACGTCCGTGGACGTACGCGCCGGACCACTCGTCAAGTGTGAAAAAGACAAGCTATGACGGGTGCATCTTCCCACGTTCTACAGGAATATACGTTCTCCCGGTGACGCCCAAATGTCTGACCACAGTTGACTTCGTGGGTCAACCTGCTGGAATGTACCCTAGGGCGCGAGATTCCATTCGAAAAGAGCTTAGGTGAGCAGGGTCATGTCCCCAAACCAGGGGCGAGGCCCCACTTACTAGGATTCTTTAATTTTGACCGTCCGTTGTGAAAATCAACTTTTGTTAGGGTAGTGTGCTAGGGATGCCTTTGCAACAAGGCACTGCCCTGGGGGCTAGCAGATGGGCAGGGGGGCTAGCAGCCGGGGCCGTGTCCAGTAACGGCACGGGTCCAGCGGTGGAATAGGGTTTCTTACTGGATACCTGTTACCACGGTAACTTTGAGGGTCAGAAATCGTATCCATAGCTGAAAGAACAGGATAAACCCCTATGCTATGGAGCAAGGAATGGGTGGAGGAAGGAGGCCATGTGGCTACTCGTGATGCCCGCACAAAACCTCTATTGAAGACGGTGAACTTGGAAGAGAACCGCCAGCGGGTACGATGCAAAGTCATCTGATAGACGTGCTCCTTCCTTCCCCTACTTGGCGGGCATCAAGACGGCCTGAAGACGAAAGGTGTATAAAGCCGTGTCTCCCATGTCTGGTTTGCTGAGAGCAGTTCAGTTCTTTGAAGCCTTCTATTAGTCACGAGTGTGGTTAGGTCGAGGACTAAAGTCTTGCTGGCCTTAGTTTTATTCTTGTCCATGCCTTTTCGACCAACAATGGCGTTGTCGTTGCCCTCGTACGTTGTCTTCCCCTCCCACCGACGCGGACAAGGTCCGGATCCATGATCTGCTAAGTAGTTGTTTTGGCGATGGTATCATCCCCTATAAATTGGAACTTAGTACTGTCACGGTAGGAGATGGTTTTGTAAGGGTAGTTGTCGACAAGGAACTGGCTCGTATCCAAGCCGATTGGTTGAACGAGCATGCAGTCTCCATCTTCTTTGGCCACGATTTTGCTTCACTTCAGGTGGGAGTCAAAAGCATATTAGTTCGGATTTACGAAAATGGGTGGGGTAACTCCAGTGCTAGGGGGCCTGCCCAAATGCGACATATTCATAAATGAAGGTTGCGACCTGGTCACCTACGTGGCATCGACTAAACAAATAGCAGCCTGGATGATAATGAAAAATAACTTACAAAGTCAAGTTGGACAGGGAGACTCACACAGTGCACTTTCGGTCATGGATGTAGGCGCAGCAACTCCATAAATGTAGGGAAGCAATGAAACAAAATCTTTTGGATTCGCTGCCTCGACATCCTGGTCTCAGCAAGGGCCCGTAGAAAGGTGCTACCGAAGATGCAGCATTTGGACCGGTAATTAACGATCATCCTCCTTACAAACACCCGCTTACATCGACTTTGAGGGATGTGTGATTCGATTTGGCTCCTTCGGGCAAATTGAAATACAAAAAGCATATTGTTGTGGATTTGTGGGAATTCGATTACATGGATGTCAAGGTAGCGTGCTCTTCCGCGCCTTGCTGTTCGAAATGTCGTCGGTATTTCCACAATGCATCTGATGCACCCTGCCCTAAAAAGCAGATCAAGTCAAAAAAGGGGAGGGAGACGGGGAGGGAGATGGTGATGGGGAGGGCGACGGTGAAGGAGATCAAGGTGGCGAAAAGGGACAGAAGGAGGAGGACGATGATGGTGGAAAAGATGGAAGAAGGGGCAAGGGGAAAGAAGGGATGGATGAGAAAGAGAAGGGAAGAAAGGGGATAGAGAAAGGGAACGAGGTCGTCAAAGATAAAATTTAAACCACCAGTACCTCCACCAGTGTTGGGAAATTACGTTGTCCTGGGCAGTACCCGAAGTTTTCGGGGTTCGGACACAGTGGCGGCGATGTCCCAAAAATCGTAGTTTTCTTTTGTCATGCACGAAAGAAAAATGAAAAAAAAAAAGGCCTTTGTACTGCAATGATGTCGAGCAGGGTAGTTTAGGAGGCCGTGCTCGCAGTCTTGAATGCATCTTACAACAAAGACGGTCACATTCTGAAGTTGTTGTTGTTGTTGTTGTTGTTTTCTCTCTTTTGTTTGTTATGTGTCCCCTGCCAACGAGGCAGGGCGGAATCCGTGATCTGCTCTAACTGTGTTTCCTCATATGATTGTAACCCTGACGTATCCAGCCGTTTTCAAGGCCGAATCCGTGTTTCCATTTTTTTTTTCTTGTTTTCTTTTTCTGGAATCTGACGATCTGAATCCGTGATTTGCTCGAGCTGTGTTCCCTCAGAGGATTGTAACCCTGATCACACTGGCACTTACGGGAATGTATCTTGCCATTTTCACCGCCAAATTCGTGTTCCTGTTTTTTTTTTTTTTTTTTGAGTTTCTGGAATCTGACAACCTGACCACGGGGCTGAGATGCCCTCACTGAGGGCACACTCACACTAACACTTCCGAGAATGTATACAGCTGCGATCACGTCCAGAACTTTGTTTCTTTTTCTTGTTTTGT